GTCTGACGACCGAAGAGACCCAGTGGTGAATACTGGGCGGGAAGTGCTGGAAGGTCTCCCACCTTGTCTGACGACTGGTAAATAATAACTTGGGCCCCATAAGAGCTGCTGGGCTGGACGACAGTAGGGTAATCCTAACCTTATCATTCGGATTTTGGGCAGCTGTGAGTAGGTAAAATGAATTAATAGTGATTAGGCTCTAGGGACCACCTCACCTTGTCTGACGACCGAAGAGACCCAGTGGTGAAAACTGGGCGGGAAGTGCTGGAAGGTCTCCCACCTAGTCTGACGACTGGTGAATCTGAGTGGTAAATAATATGGGAGGAGATATAGGTCCACCTTCCCGTGGTTCCTCCCGTAAGTACTGCTTTCAATACGAAGCAGTGCGACCAAGAGGCCTATCTATTAACAAATTACACTTTCCGTAAAGCATTTTGCCTGAGGTACACAATAGTTCACCTAAAATATCTTTCCAAGGCATTTAATAATTGATCAATATATGATATATTATGGACAATTACTACATTTATTGACTGCGACGTTTCAATGAGTGTTCTCTCACCGTTATCAAGCAAATAATACAATCATAAACATTATATATAGAGAGCTAGTAACAACAACTAATAACGGATTGAAAGGGACTATCGACCGGTGGGATCGTTTTTTCGCATTGCCCAACTTGCCGCATCGTCCCCAACTGCACAAAAACGACTTGTAAAACGAAAAAGGTTTCTGATAAAATCCGGAATGGCCAATCGAAAAAGAATTCGAAACTAGTTTAATGGTCAAATCTGGAAGAAAATAAATACCAAGTAGGCTACAAACGATCAGAACCGTAATACACAATAGATAAGATTGGTTATAACTTGCAAGAGTTATGTCCCTCTACTGCGTGCCTATAACGTCACACACGTGCTAGACAAAATGGCAACTGAAAGTAGAAATCTTCTCAACAGTAAAACAGAATTGTCAAGCGAGGAGAAATTTCAACTTAGATGTGCCCTATAATGTGGCACTTTTACGAGGAAATTGTACAAGTAATATTGTTAATTTCTCAGCGGCTGGTAACTGGTCAATTACGTCGTTATCGATAATTGTATCAAACTAATAGTGTTCTTAAAT